AATAGGCTTAGCCTATCGGAATGAAAAAGAGATTCTATTTGATATTTTTTGTTCTCTGCGCGCATATTCGATCATCTTGACGAAACAGCATCAAATGCTGAATTTGTCATTAAAAGTGAAGAATTTGTATTTTTCTTTCGATTTTGTTCAATACTATTTGAATTAGCATTACTAATATTCGTTGACAAAGATACTCCAGTTTCGACACTAAGTGCTAATGCTTCAAGCCAAGGATGAGCAACACAAAATGCTGGCCTAAAACGATAAAAATAAAAGATTTTAAAATGAATGTGGTTAAATATAGTTGATCGAAATATCTGGCTCATTTTGTAATGAAAATATCTTATAAAAATTTGTCATACAATCGATCGTAAAATATGAGCAGAAGTTTACAGACTCTCACTCGTCTTATATACATTCAAACTAATCAATACTATAGAAAATCTATTCATTATCAAAAAAATACCTTGAATTAGGATTGATGTCGCAACATGCGATTGCAATAGCAATGAATTGTTTTGGACAATCCTTATTACAATATTTTTGACTGAATAAATGAACATTTAAACCAAAATCTTGTGTACGTGGTAAATAATCAGGATCTGCCTGGACACGGCCAATGATCTAAGAATAAAAAACCGTGATTTTACTTATAATAATCACTGATACTTTTTTTTCGTATCAAGTACGCACCTCACATAACATGATACCAAATGAAAATATATCAACACGTTCATCATAACATTGTCCTTTCAACATTTCTGGTGCCATCTAAAACAAAGAAAATTAATTATATTCTACTTTAGTTATACTACTGTTTCACGTACCCAATACGGTGATCCTACAACAGTATAACGTTGACGATCGCGAAGTAATTGACGACGTGTTTTTGGTCTTACAACAACATTTCCATTTGTTAAAATTGTTGCACTAGTGCTCCTTTGATTTTTAATATTTATTTCACGTTGTTGCTCGTCTTCTTCATCGTCTAGATTTATTCTACTTAATCCAAAATCTGCGACAACAACTTGACCATTCTATGGAGAGAAAACAAAATATAAATATCTATATTAATTAAATTTATGTATTATAAAGAAGACATACAGGTTTGACCAGACAATTGCTTGAATTAAGATCACGATGAATGATATTCATTGAATGAAGATATTCCTATAAGAGATCAATAGATTAAAGATATAAAATAAAAATAGAGACAATAAAATGGACAATTTTACCATTCCGGCGGCAATATCTTTAGCAAATCGTAAACGTTGTATCCAAGTCAGATCTATTGATAGATCGTGTATGATATTTTTTAGTGTGCCACCGGCTATGTATTCTAGAAGAAAAAGAAAACACAATATAGCATAACATATATCAAACACTATGCACTGACGAACATACCAACAAGAAAACTCATTTGATTATCTTTATCCAGTAAAAGTCCCATGAATTTTAACACATTTGAATGAATAAGCCGTTTCAAAACCTGTACTTCTTTAACAAATATCTTTTGTGCATCTTTATCTACAGTTTTCGTTTCTTTCATCACCATAATCTGACCAGTCTTTCGTATAGTAACCTAGAATAGAAAAAAAGAGCACGCTATTAGTATTTTTGTTTCTTTCCACATTGAAGTCCACAGTGAACACTTTTTTCTATGATCTCTCGATGTACCGAGCTAGTAACGAGAATTCTCGTTACATGATTTAACGCCAAAGGATGAAAAGAATCATTCTGAAGATAGATGTAATTATAACTGTAACTCAAAACAAGTATTAATTAAGTACAGTTAGTATTTCATGAACCGGATTTCATACAATAGCTTCGAAAATCACGACAGCTGTACAAAGGATGAGCAGGTAATCTTTTTTTTTGTTATACTTACAGTTCGTGCTATGCCATAAAATCCTTGACCAATAATTGGTCCAAATACTAAATCATTTGCTCGAAAAACGGTATCCCGAGTCAGATCGTGTAGAGATGCGGAACGGGAGAGCAACAACAACGAACGTTGTGAATGTCTTTGCAGTGATTTGCTAAATGAAAGCAAATAGAATTCGTTAGTAATAATACAACAGATATAATTAAATACTCCTCCCGTTAATACTTTTATTCCAATAGTTATGTCATCAGAAAAGTGTACTTAAACGACTATACATACTCCTTAAAAATAATCACTACATTTGTTTTCTTCGTTATGCTCACTCAAATAGCACAGGTAAGAGCTCATAAAAAGCTGTCCATACTTCTGCGTTTAACTGCCTATTTTTTGTTACCTTTTTCCCTTTATCAAATCAATCTTTACAAAGTACGCGTTAGCCGGTTCTTGAACATTCTTGTGTTCTTTATGACCATTGATTTAAATCACATTTGTCTATTTTGGATAGCGTGGGAGGTTTGGTTGCTAGAGTTATAATGACAGACTACTCGATCGATCCGATAGCACTTCATTCCAACAGTGGCGGGCCGAGACCCAAAAGTTTGGTATGGCAATAAGTCTGGCAAAGTTTTTGCTTGCAAAAAAATGCTCTGTTTAAGACGTTTTTTTTTGAGAGAAAAGTCTCGAATTTAGTAGCAGACAGAACGAACAAATTTTTATTGGTATGGCAATTGTCCCAATTGCTCCGCTGTCGGCCCGCCACTGCATTCCAAATTAAAACTTTATTGTCTCAAAAATCAAAGACTCTATTTCAAACTCATTCATTTCCATAAAATTTTCTATGGCACAAGTCCTCTTTCACATCTTAATCTCATTACACCTTCACATGATCGGAAATCTTCGCGTTCTAGGCATGAAAGACAAATTATTACTACACATTTTTCCACAAAAGTTTCATCTTCTTCTTTCATACACCTCACCTTTAAACAGTGAAATGGTCTTTCTCCATCAGTAGCGCACACGGCCAATTTAAATATATTCCAAATGCTTCTTAAAAATCACAGAGATTATTCTTGCTCTTTCTGCTATTCTTACGGCCCCTAAGAACGATTGTTGCTCTTTCTCTTTTGTTCTCACTGTATTGTGATTCATTTTATCTTTCCTTTTTCTCTCCTTCTTCGATAACAGTGTTTCTTATGTAAGCGAAATTTTCTTTTGCTTGTTTACTGTTTCCTGGCTATGTAACATGTTTAGTCAAAATACATTCAATTCAAAGCTACCAGCAATCAAATACTTTCAACATCGAAATTAAGGTGCCATCAGTTTGTCTATACCTATAGGTGAAATCTCTTGGTTCCGAAGATGATCTAATGTATACTGGATTTGTATCATTTGAATCACCATTAGCTTCAGCTGACGTATTATACTGTTTTCTCGTTGAATAATGTGAATTTTCATTGGACTGTTCATATAATGGATCATATTTGACTAATGTACAAATATTACGAGTGTTATTATTTCTTAATATTCGTGTGGCATCCGTCGCACTTTGACTTCGTGTAAGTTTTTGTCTAGTATCAAGCGCAAAACGCGTTAAATGTTCAATTAACCGTCGACCATGCTATAAGAATGAATAAATAAATACTTTTTCAAAAAATTAGATCAGATCACACAAGAAAAGATTACTTACCTCAGCAGCAAGACTTTTTTTCGTAATTGGCCGTGATTTTCGAAATGATGATGATTTTGTCAAATCACCGTTTGTGAATGAATGATATCTAAATCATAAAATAAAATAAATGCTCCATTTATGATAAACTTTATTAAAAATTCTTACCTGTCTAATTCTTGATTATTATTGCCTCCATTATATCCTTGATCGATCTGACTTTCAATTATTGACGGATACCCATTTTGTTTTGTTGTTTTCTTTTTAGAAAATGTCGTCATATCGGATGGCGTTTTCCAGTTTGACAAATCAATAAGCATTCTCCTCACACCCACAAAGATTCTCTTTTTTTTTATGAGCTACAAGACAAAGTAATTTATTGATATTTTTGCATAAAGTTGTCAGAGATTAAATTAAATAATAAAAAAATATTGAACATATTGAGTATTAAAACATGATGAATAACTGCTGGAATGTCATAATCTAAAGTACAAAAATGAAATAAAAATTGCTAAAATTTTTTACTATAAATTTGAAAAGTATAATTTTTCATTTGGTTAGAAAAAAAGCTAGAAAAATTCGTTGTCACGAATATATGATAAAGAAAAATGTTTTGTTATTAATGGGCCTCAGTTTATTATTTTTTCACGTAAATTAGAGTTCAAAACGTATCAACTTTACACAATGTTTTTACTTCTGTCTCCACGTATAAGAAATAATAACAGATCAATGTTTGTGCTAAGGCTAACCCACAAACTTTAGAATTGATATTTTCCTTTGATACTACACGAATTCGACATCAGCAACATAATGTAAAGATGATAGTTTCAAAATTCTAAATAATTACGTACATCCAACATTCTCAGATGTCTTGTGGACTCCTGCGCAATCTCATCATTGGCCTAGACAATAGTTGAAATACAACAAAATAAAGAAGAAAAAATTTAGATGTTTGATCTTTACATTTACAATGTTTTGACATCATCATTTTACAATATTATCACTCTTCATTTAATCATATTAATTTATGAGAAAAAAAAACATTTATTTATTAAATGTAATAATTTCTGTATTGTATCTTAGTAAAAATTTTCTCTTATTATCATTATACAACCATGTTTTTCACAAAACTAAAGAATATCTAGCAAATGTTCGCCTTCTGTCTGCATCAATAAAAAATTACACCTTTAAAAGTATTAATAGAATAACGAAAAAATGTAATTATGTGTAAAATGTAACCATATATCGACTCCTTTTGTCTATAATAAAGGCAAAAAACGTCACAAGCAATGTAGAGAGAACAAGAACCAAACAAAAAAAAGAGTACAAAATTAAACTAATAAAAATATGGAAGAAAGGATGGATGATGGCATTATTGATTATAAACCAATCAATTTAGTTCATAGTTTATAAATTCTACGCATTTTTTCTTCTCTTTTCTTTCTTCGAATAGCGGATCGCTAAATCTTTTAACAAACACTATTATAAGACAAATATGTGACTAATGTGTATCTCCTTAATTTGTTCAATATTCTACGAGTATTTATTTATTTATTTATTTATATATATATGCGCACACACACACGCACATATACTGCCCAGAAGATAACAAAAAAATAAAAAAGTATAAATTAAAACAAAATAAAGAAAAAGAATGGCGCTATGATTTATTTTTCTATCGTTAAGGGATCTTCACATTCAATTGAATTATTCTCTCTTTACACTTATATATTTCTTCCAGCTGATAAACAATTATATTTAAGTTTTAATAGGCTATTGCTCTCTAACTGCTTGTCAAATACTTCTTTCTGTTATTTTATTTTTAAACAGATACTACCTCATCATTGATAAAAAACTTTCCTTCGAGATTATTTACACAGAAATCCGAAACTAAAAAAATAAAAACTTAATCCGAACGTGTGAATAATGTGATTTAAAATTCTTAGAATCATTTTGTACATAAGATATTCTCATCGAAACCTATTTTGATATAAACTTTATTTTTCTAGAATATAAACGGAAAATAAGTTCGATATCATGTTGTAAACATGAAACAACATACCTCTAATTTGATAAAGTAAAAAAAAAAACAAAAGAAAAAATAATTATAAAAATCAATAACAGACGATTATTTTTCTTATGAATGACATGTATTCATTCTTTTCGTTAAAGGTGTGCCAAAGTATTTCAGAACAAACAAGTTAACAGTAAATAATTACGACATTAGCAAGATTTGTTATGTAACAATGGAAGGATTAGTTATCGTTTTTTTTTTTTTGTTTTTTTTTTAACTAAATGATATAGTAGTTTCGTCGTTTATAAAACAAAGAAAGATATTTATTCAACATATAGAAGAAAAAAAAAATTGTTTGACAGTCTAAACTATCTCTCTTATACCTATTATAAATCTCAAATTTTTCTTTTCTCTGTGTATGTCATATAAATATATATACACACACACACACACACAAACACAGATGTATATTATTAGCGTGTGAACAGATATATGTTAAAGGTATGAACATAGAACAGTAACAAGACAAGGCATACTCTTTATCATAATATACACACAGAAAAAAAAAAGAAAAGAAAAACAGGTCATTCTATATATAGATAGACAATCCTTATAAAGAAAAAAAAAGTCTCGATTACCGTACAATATTTATTTTGCTCTTAGTATTATTATTTATTAATTTAAAATGATGATTTTGAACAATAAAATTATGATTTTAACTCCATTAAAATCACAAAACTAGATGTATATATATATAAAATGTTCTATGAGTTTACACTACATATTTTTAATTGAAGATAAGCTAGATAGGATAATTGTTCATAATCAACGAATTAAAAAATCATTAATCATATATAATTATAAAAAAAAAAGCTCAATCTCATGGGAAATTTTTATTTTTACATTTTCTACAGAGAATTTCTTTTTGACTTCCTCTGTTAATTGATAGTCAAAGGTGTTTTGTACGAAATAGAGTAATAAAAATAAAAGATTACCAAAAAAGTAGTTTTACTTCGGGACCTTTATCTTACCAAACAAAAATATTTTTCTTCTTCTTCCTAACAGTATGTTGTCACTATGTTCAATGAACATTAAATGTAATCAAAATTTTTATTTATGAACGAGAAATTGTCAGATAAAATCATAAACGATTCTGGAAAAAAATGATTTATTTTCTGGTATGTACATCTGGTCTAAGATAAATGTATAACATTATAGTAATGTAAACGTAGTTACTCTCGTTTTTATACAGTCAGCAACATTTGTGTTTTTTAACGAGCAGTGTGAATATATTTTTCGAGATACCATCCATCGAATTGAGCTTGACATAATTTCATTATCGTAATCAAATTGATAAATAATTGATCTCTTTCTGTACATTGTAACTATACCATTTTGAGAATATACATCATATCATGGATAAACAATACTTTAATGAATCTGTATTACTTTTACACAACACTTTTATCTTCTGTTAAACTACAAAATTCGCTTCGATTCTTATACAAAAAACTTATTTCAAATTATAATTAAAACACTAGATCATCTAGACGTTTGCATGTATATAGAGCGAAAACAAAAGTTCGCGAGACTAAAACTAGTTTAACAAAGCATATTTTCACACTGTTAGTTAAAATATAAGCGTTGTTGATTTGAAGATGATGCATAAGAAAGATAGTAACTACGTTTACATTACTATCATGTTGTACTATCATCTTAGACCAGATGTACATGTCAGAAACAAAATAAATCATATAAAATTTTACGTGTGGTGTTTGTTAGTATTTTTGAGAGAGGATAGTTTTTACTTTTTTTCTCATATTTCTTCTCGATTTATGGTGAAACTATTAAAATTCTGCTTAACAGCCGAAAATACAATTTTAAGAAGCTCAAAGTTCAATTTTGGAGGAAAAATGATAAAAAGAACACATTAAATGTTTCCAAGTATAAAATTTCCAGCTTGATCGAATGAAATTTACGGTGGATCATAACGTTATAAACTGAAATCGAATAATATCTTTAGTTAAGACTACTAAGACTAATGTGAGACTAAAGTGAGAGTCATCAAAAGTTCTGGACCTGTAATAACAATGACTCGAGCCAAACTACAAAAATGAAACTGAAAAGAAAAAAAAGACAACGAACCAGAAATAAACAAAAGAAAAACGAAGATGCAATTTAGAGATCAAATAATGATGAGGTTAAACACAAATAAAATCACTTTTAAGAGAACAACTAACACGAGTTTATTATAACTAGAAACATGGCTTAATTTTACTGGAAGAGATATTGAGCTTGTGTTTCATTTTCTTACCTCTCTGAGTTATTCCTGAAACTACTGTTCTTATCAAAAATAAGCATTAATAACGTAATCATTCGGCAAAACGAATGGCAATTCACAAAGGTCAACATTTTTTCATTCATCAAACACAAATAAGTAGTTAAATTCAGGAAAAACAAATTCAAGGTATAAATTAGCATTTTGACTCATCAGCTTCAACATAAAACCTTTCTCTTAAGAAATGTCTGTAGAAAGTTTGATTGAAATTTTATCCTGTCTTACTGAATAACTCTAAATAGACGTTAGCACCAGTCTGATTTTATAATTTCTTTGCTATCTCCTGTAGACATAAAATTATTTAGTGGACAGACTTTAGAAAGTAGTATAGAAAACAGAATCCGCTAACCACAAGTCAAGAACAAAATTCAGAATGCAAAAACATTGCTGTCTATGAGCTAAAACTTTCTCCACTAGATCCCCTATCTCGATATGTTCTCTTTGATATGTGCTAATGTTTTTGAAAAGACTGCATACAATGAGTGGGAAAAACGAATTCTATGAGCATTACAATTAAGAAGAAGAAGCAAGTATCTAATCGTGAACAAATTAATCAAAATATCGAAAAAAATATAAAAAAAGTATTAATAAAATAAACAAAGAAACTGTTGAACAGCCAATCATTTTACTGTTTTTCATTGGTAACTCTCGTTGCCTTTATATCGTACACAACTAAGATACGGTCTATGCACTTACTTGTATACGTCGACTTCATGGGTTAGAGAAAGATAATATATCAGTTTTGCAACATTCCATATCTCAAATTCATAGAATTACGCATTCTTTAAGTTAACTATTCATTTGTGCCTAAGCAAGGGTAGACAAGGGGCGTGGCGCGTACGAGAAAATACCATGCGTCAGTAAGCAGCGGAATTTTTACTTTCTCTTTTCAGTTATAGAGTCATATCAAGTCAGGACTAAATTCTCATCTACTCTCACGGAGCTATATTAAATGACACTCTTTTTGTCTGGGTCGCTATTCTGCGTTAAACGAGTTTTTTGAGTCCATCAAGTGCTGTGTTTCTTCAATCTGTTAGTGCAGTATATCAGAAGTTGTCATCAAGTCGCATCAAACCCTGAAGTCGCTTTTCATCGCCAAATACACAATCAGAACATGTTATTGTAACTGAGTCTCTAACCTTTCTTTACGGAATTGTTGAAAATTTTTTCATTGTGTTTTGTATCATTGTGCAGTTGTTGTTTTGAGCCGCGTACCATTGTCTTTATTGCTTCAACTCAAGTAATCCGTGTTCTTTGTGTCGGTGGACGAATGATACGTTACGTCCAACCTGTTCTGGAAAATCAATAGTATATACACAACTTCTACCATAACACAAAATTCGGTTTTGTTCTATATACTAGATTGATGTTTCATTCTTAAAATTTTTTTCCACGTTAATCAAATTTGTAAGAGATCACAGTTGGATGATAAGTGATCTACATGTAAGCATAGCATCAATCTGACATAAACGTGTGTGAAATCCAAATAATGAATTTTTTAAGTTCGGCACTGCTTCTTCTACACAATATCCACATTTATTCGATTGCTTTCAGTTCTCTCTTGCCCAATGAAGATTCAGCAATTTTTTAAGATGAGTGCGTTATACTAGAGAGATCTAAAAACTTTTGTCGGCTAAAGATGATAACTTTCATTTCACATCTCTGGATTCGCTATCGTTGAAAGAGGAACAACCTTTTCTGTATGATTATTGATCCTATTCTTTTACATTTTAGATGTATACTAATCTAACTTCATCTATAAACAATGATATTAATGACATTGCTCAATCATCAATAAACAATGTCGATGAACAAGATGATGAGGATGAATTAATGACACCTCAAGAATTAATATCTCGTCTAGAACGTGCATGGTTAAATGAAAAATATTCGCCCGTATTATTGTCACATGAAACTGAGTTAATAATGGCTACCTTTGAATTATTAGACGATATTGAAAAACGTCTAAAATCGAACGATACAAACAAATTAACGTTTCGTTGGCTAATGCATCAGACAGAATATAATCGTTTGTATTACATTTTGTGTTCATATATTCGTATACGTTGTCAAAAATTAGAAGATTATTCATCGGCATATGTTCACGAACAGGAAAAATTATCGACCGAAGAATATGTTTATGCTCAAACATATCTGAACAATGTTAAAGCTCATTTGAGAAAAAGTGTCTTAAATGAATTAAAATCAGAACAAACAAAT